AGAAGGATATCATGTTTGGTAAGGTGGAGGTCAGAGAAAAAGAGGAAGACCCTCAATGAGATGGATTGTTCAGATGGCATCATTGATGGCGTCAAGTGTGGCAGCGGTAGTGAGGTTGGCCCAGGATCGGACATTGTTTCGTTCTGCTGTGCATGGGGTCGCTGTGAGTCTGTTCCGACTCGATGACACCCGACAACAACAACAACATACTGTGTATTCTTTTGTTGTTAGGTGCTGTTGAGTTGGTTCTGACTCAGAGCAACCCCATGTACAAAAGAGCCCTACCATTGCCCAGTTTGGCACCATCTTTACAGATGTTGTTATATTTGATCCCACTGTTGCAGCCACATGTCAGCCCAGTTCATTTGGTGGGGGTCTTCCTTATCTTTGCTGTTCCTCCACTTTTCCGAGTATGATGACCTTTTCCAGGACTGATCCCTCCTGACAACATGCCCGAGGTAGGAGAGACCAAGTCTCGCCATCCTGGCTTCCAAGGAGCACTCTGGCTCTACTTCTTTGAAGATGGAGCTGTTCCTTTTGCTGACAGTCCACCAACACTACGATTCCACGGCATCAGTGCTTCTCCAGCTCCTCTATCCATTGTCCAGCTTTCACATGCATGTGTGTTCTCTTCGTACCGTCCATTTAATTAATGAAAACTCCTTGAAGACGTGTATTTAAAAAAAAAATTAGAGAAACATTTTCTTTTCTAAATATTACTTTTAAAGAATACATCAAACTGCACAACTAAAGAACATATGCTACGTGAAGTCAGTCAGTCACATAAGAACAAATATTGTAAGATCCCACTTTTATGAGACGATGAAAAATCTTGGAAGACAGGCCTGACAGTATTCTTATAAAATGATAAAAGGGTAAGCATAACTACAGAGACCAATGTTCATTGGTTGTTCCCAGGGATGGGGAGAAGGAAGTGGGAATCACTCTCTAGTTCAAAGACTAGTTATTTTAGGTTACGGGAAAAGTAGGACTGAATGTGGGTGTAATGAGCACAGCCTGACCACAGTAAAGGATGCTAATAAGAAATGCGGAAGAAAAGAGGATGTTGTACTACAGAATGTCACGTGTGTCATGTGGCAACACCACCACATGTATGGTCACATATGTATGTGCAGAGGCATATATATGTACAGGTAGCTACACATATGTATAGACATGTAAATATACAGAAGCCATCTATAAAAACAAAACTCTCCACTGCCATCGAGTTGATTCTAAGTCACAGCAACGTACAGGAAAGTCGACTGCTCCCGAGGGTTTCTATGGTTGTCAATCTTTATGGACGTAGACGGCTTCCTCTTTCTTCCAGAGGAGCTAGTAGGTGTGAAACACTAACCTTCCAGTTAGCAGCCTAATGCTTAAACCATTGTACCATCAGGACCCCCAAAGTATCTATGGTGTTGTTGTTATTAAGTGATGGTGAGTCAGTTCTGATTCATAGCAACCCTGCATCGGGGTTCCAAGGAGCAGCTGGTGGGTTTGAACTGGTGACATTGTGGTTAGCGTCCAGTGCTGATCCCATGTGCAAGTACAAATCTGCGTGTGAATACATATTAGCCAATATGTCAAGTAATCACAGTCTTATTTGTGCATGCTTACTAATCTGTATTAAACAATTTCACATTTTTCACTAAAAAAAAAGAATACATCAAGTTCTTTGCTGGGTACGATGAAGGAAACCAAGATGAGGAAGACCTAGTTCCCACTGCTGAGGAGCCTTCAAGGAAAGGACATGTAGCTGCCAACAGCACGCACCCACATCGGCTGTCACCACAGAGTGGGGACTCAGGGCACGTCAGGGGCTGCGCCACCTTGAGCTCCATGAAATAAGCTGAATGAAGTGATGGAAGTGAACACAGAGCACCAAGGAGACAAAAAGCGATTCAGTCTGACCGATGGGGAGGATGCACCAAGGGCAAGGGTGGACACACAAGACACTCAGGGAGGCAGGGTATCGAGTCAGGAAACACGTTCTTAAGAACAAACGTCCACGGTTAGCCAGTTTGTGTGTGTGTGAAACAGACATAACAAAATTCTGCTCCGACACGTACAGTGCAGTATTTAATGCGGCTCAACATGCAAGCTGTGGGTTTGAGTTTGGTTTGATTTGGTTCTTTTTAGTGAGATTTGGGTAAAAGGTGATAGTCAATAGTGATTTCCATTCACAATTTATACACATTTGATTTCACGACATTCATCATGATCCCTCCCAATGGAGCAGCACTCTTCCCACTTCCTCTCTTGGTTCTGTGTCCCTTCACCTTTCTTCCCTGTCCCTTCCTGCCTGGTTATGGGGCAAATGCTGCCCTTTTGATCTCCCATGGTTGATGGTTCTACGGAATATGTACCTCGCTGATGTCACTGTTCACCTGGTAGACCTGTCTATTGCTGGGCTGGAGGTTAAGCCACAAGTATTTATATTTTCTTAAGGTGAGTGAGTGTCAACAATCATCAAAAGGTAGAGAAACAAAATTTATGTGTGTCACCTTCCAGCCGGACAGTGAGGCTAGAAGGTGAACAGCAGTGCAGTGGCAGGGATATTTACTACGCATTTTAACCCATCACTCATGTGTACGCAGGTCATTCTGTGGTGGCAGGTATGGTGCTGGAAGCTATGCCACTGGCATTTTAAACATCAGCAAGGTCACCACCCATGGTGGGCAAGTTTCAGCAGAACTTTCAGACAAAGACTAGAAAGAAAGACAATTTAGCCACAGAAAACCTTAATAGCAGTGAAATGCTGTCTGATACCGCGGTGCAAGATGAGCCCCTCAGGCCAGAAGGATCCCAAAATACAACTGAGGAAGAGCTGCCTCCTCAAAGTAAACAAACAAATCTGTCTCGGAAGAAGCACAGCCAGAGAATGTTCCTTAGAAGCCAGAAGGGTGCGACTCCATCTCTGGTACTTAGGACATGTTTTTAGGAAGAACCAATCACTGGAGAAGGAATCATGGATGACCAGCAAAAAGGAGGAAAACCTTCATGAGATAAACTGACACAGTGGCTGCAACAAAGGGCGTAAGCACAGCAATAGTGGAGATGGTGTGGGACCCGGCAGTGTTTCCTTCTGTTGTGCATAATGTTGCTATGAGTCAGAACTGACTTGATGATACCTAACAACTCTCCCCCAAAGAATTCTGCACCCTTGGATTGATGCCACATCAGAGCATCAGTCTGGGCATCCGGAGGGACTCCAAGCGCATGCCTTTTCAATGTTCTTTGAGTTTGGGGAAGAAAAAGAACTTTGAAGTGGCAAGGTCAGGGCTACGGGGTCGGTAGCGTAAGGGTTCTCAACAAAATGCTCCCAGGACAGCCCTCAGTACTCTTGAATGGACGTGCCTTGTCGTGTTGGAAAAAAAAAAAAAAACACAGCAAAACTTCCCTGGCCTTTTACTCATCAACACAATTTTCTATTTTCTTACAGCTACTTCCTAATAAGCCCATGCAGTCCTCCTGTGCTCCTTGAGAAAACTTACCAAGATGACCCTGTTGGAATCTCAAAACAGGACCTTCTGAGCTGACCACTCTGCCTTGAATAAGCTGGTCCCTCTCAGAAGCCTCTCAGAAGCCACTATTCTGATTAAACTGTTTTTGAAGGCACCTTTATCGAGTGTAAGAGAGTGTAATACTGAGAGAACTTGTCTGCAGCCATCTGCAGATCACAGTGTGATAGTTAAGCACATTTTGTTTGGAATAAAGCCATGAATGTCAGAACCAGAAGTCTAGCAGCAATACTTCTAGACAGACTAATGTGTTACTAATTCCATACCTGTTTATGATTAGTTATTCAACAAAACTCAGACCTCCGTATCTTACCTCTGACCTTCAAAAACAGTGTAAAAACTGAGGAACCACAAGCGAGATCATTTAAAGGCAGCTAGCACTGAACAGGTTAAAACACGGAAGCATCTGCATGACACTAATTTTACTACTTTGTAAAGGAGAGCAAAAGCATCAGGTCATTCTAGACTGACTTACCAAATGGAGCGGTCCTGGTGGAGGGCTAGGTATCAAAGAGAGTTTTGCAGCAAATTCTTTGATATGATCATCAACTTCAAAATCTTTACAGAGTTTCAGGTGAGTCAATAAACTGAAATTTTAAAAAAAGATTACAAACCAAATGAAGCTGCGCAAACTAGGTGGCTTTTGTACATAAGCAACACCTCAGTGAAATTGATTTTGAAACCTTTGAACATGAAAGCATAACATGTGGCCATTCTGACTCACGGTCACCCTGCAAGACAGAGCAGACCCACACCACAGGCTGTCCACAGCACGGCTGTCAGTCTTTATGGAAGTAACTCCCACATCCATCTCCCCAGAGCTGCTGGGGGACTCGAACCTATGACCTTTTGGATAGCACTTGAGCACACAGTCAATGCACCACCAGGGCTCCTGAAAGCAATGCTCACTCTGACCTATAGCTATGATGGACCCACCCCTATGATGGACCCACCCCCATGATGGACACACCCCTACGATGGACACACCCCTACGATGGACCCACCCCTACGATGGACACACCCCTATGATGGACCCACCCCTACGATGGACCTACCCCTACAATGGACACACCCCTACGATGAACACACCCCTACGATGGACACACCCCTACAATGGACACATTCTAGAGACAGTTGCATTTATGTCTCTTGTTGTTAAGTAGTGTCCAGTTGATTCCAACTCACAGTGACCTTGGAACTTATGGGGTTTCCAATAAGTAGCTGGTGGATTTGAACCACCGACCTTACATTCAGCAGTTCTGTGCTGAAGCTCCAGCTCCAGAGGGTATTTGTTGCTAAAGAGTCTTTGAAAGCTCGAGAGCTCAGTGAGTGTGTTACCAGGGAGGTGGGGAAAGTCCTGGTGTGGTCTGGAGAGTCAGAACTGGACTGCAAGGTCAGCAGTTCAAACCCAGCAGTTGATCCTCGAAACCCTATACAGAGTCACTATGAGTTGGAACCAACTCGATGACACTTAAGAACAAGGGAGGACAGTGGAGTCCTGGTGTGGCGCTGTCAAATAAACATGACCACAAGGTCAGTTTGAACTGCAAGGTTCATGGTTCAAACTCACCAGCCACTCCTCAGAAACCCTATACAGAGCTGTTAGGGTCAGAATCAAGTTGACAGCACTTAACAATAGAAATGGCAGACCGTGCTCAGCCCTTCTCGTAGCTTCAGTAAAGGTGGACAGCACTCCCACTGCCCAGAACAGACAACTAAAGATTCACTTCAAAAGCCATCTGGCTTCAAGTAACGAAGATTATTAATGTGCACGAAGGGACTGGTCTTCCTTCGTCATCTGTCGCTTCCCAGGCCGTGGCTCCAGTGAACATCATTCTCTCAGTTCACTTTCTCCTCAAAGAAGGTAAGTCAGTTCTCTCTTCTGCAAAGATTGCTCATGTCTACAGAAATCAGGTACAGGCTAGGTGTGTTTTTAACAATAAATCATGAAGGTGATGTAATTTGAGTCATGCACTGTAATCTGCACAGTGAGGGTTCCTGCCCACTCAGTTCAGTGATTTCCTCTGAGGAGGAATAAGTCAATCCGTCACAAACACCAGTCTGGGTACTTATCATGGATTATGAATTACTCAGGATTACGAGGCCAAGAAGAGCCTTTGCTAATGGCCTTCTCTCCGTCTTTAATCAAATGTCTACAAATTCTACAAACGCAATTTTCTCAGAATCAAAAGTAAATGACACAAACTCACATGTGCCCAGTGGGACCAGATTTGTGTCCATACTCAAGGGACATCCCCAATATGTCACCACAGCATCCTCTAATAACAGGAATTCATGAGGGTCCTTGTAACACTTTCTGAGTTTTAAAAAAATTCCTCAACATCCTCAGATTTTCTACTCAGTCTCAGCTGTAAGGTAAAGATTCTACCAAAAAAGGGGTCATTTTAAAATGTAAGTAAAACTCCTCAGAATTCCAGCAACATCCTACCAACTTTCTCAGATAGGCAGAAACAGAGCATTTTTCCTGATGCTGTTAGTAAGTGTCGTCCAGTCGGTTTCAACGCACAACAACATTGTATAGCATTTCCGAGGAGCAGCTGGGGGTACTGGACCACCAACCCTGTGCTTTAAATCGACCTTACGGTCCAGTGCTTTATCCTACAGCACCAGATTAGGGGTCCTGATAAAGATCCCTAAAACACCAAAGCAAAAAATATCAAGAAAGAAGAGCTGGGGGCTAAGCGCACCCTTTGGACCCAGGTCCCTGTGCAGAGAACCTCCTAGGCCCAGGGGAAGACTGATGCCAAGATACCGGAGTTCTCCAAGGGAAGTCAAGCCCACAGATGTTGAAAGGAGATAAAGACCTCCCCACAGAGACCACAGAGGAAGAAAGCCTTCCCCTAGGGTAGGTGACCTGAGTTCAGCCTTCTCAACTCCTGAACTATGAAAAAATAAGTTCATTAAAGCCACACACACAAAAAAGCAAAAATAAAATCCTTCATATTAATCTTACTCACAACGTACAATCTATGTTTTCCTTTTTACGACGCCATTATCACTTTTACACATAATCATTTACACATGAATCTAGGTTTTCCAAAAAAGTCCCAACCATCACATCTGAATCCTGCCAGCTGATCACGATGTTAAGGGACCACTTGCCAACTTACCAGGAGAGGCAGTCTTTGAGGGCGTTGTAATATGGGTATCGAGAGATGACACACACCGCAAAGGGCACGTAGCAGCCGGCCGTGCTCACCGTCTGCCGGGACGACTCCCAGTGTGTTTTGCCATTGTAGAAACAGTATTCATCCTGGACACGAAGCAAAGTGGCACCGTTACCTCCTCCCGCTCTGGTCACACTCAGGATCCACGTTCACGGCACCAGCACCACAATACAAATCACAGCTAGAGGAAGGCCCACGTCTCCACACACTGGTCCCGGTCTATAGCCCCTCACACTTTCTGTCACATGACGTATTGAGCTTACAGAGAGAAAGACCCTCCTCTGCCCTCAAGTAAGCAGTGTTGGGGTAAGAAAAATGCACGTCATCAGAAAACACAAAATAATCAGTGTTGGCGAGGATGTGGGTATGTTAGAACCAGCATTCGATGCTGGTGGGACTGCAAAAATGGTACAGCCTCTGTGGAAAAGAGTTTGGAGGTTCACAGGTGAACCCACAATCACCATGCTGTTGCTGTCGAGTTGGTTGTGACTCATAGTGACCCCGTATAGGAGTTCTGAGGAGCAGCTGGTGAATTTGAACCGCCAACCTTGTGGTTAGGAGTCCAGTGCTTATCCTACAGCACCACACCAGGAGCCCAGTATCACCCTATGACCCAGCCATTCCCCTCTAAAAACTGGAAGCCAGGACACACACACAGGCGCACACATGTTCACTTCAGCCACCCACATGTGGGGCCACAACGAATGGATGAACTAGATTTGGTAAATGCGCACGACGGACAAGGCAGCTGCATCACACCAAGGAAGGAGGAAGCAAAGCTGAGACGTGCAAGAGCCTTGGAGATGGGATGCTGAATGCAGAGACCAGACACAAAGGACCACCATGGTAGGGTTCCACGTGCAGGTAGGCAATCCAGAAAAACAGAAAGCAGGCTAGTGGCGGTGACACACACAGCGCTCCTTTGGTGCCTTTGAAAACGTTTCCAACCCGACTAGCGGTAAGGTTTGTGTAACATTATAAATGTACTAAAGGGCACTTAGAGATTACTGGCATGATGTGTCATCTACCAATGTAAAAACCCGGCCCTTATCTCCATGGGAGGTCAGTGTTGGGGGCACTTACGTGCACTGGTCGGTAATACTGGGCAACCACGCCATATGTCCTGTTTCCACACACATCGGTCAAAACCAGGAAGTGGATACAATCCTCCTTGGGCTCAGGGGATACACACACACCTCCTAGAGACAGAAAGAAAGCCAGGAGATCACTCCATATGGCCACCAGTGTCCACTGTCAGGCCGAGGGCATCACGGGGCAGCTGCTCTCAGTGCACAAAAAAGAACACCTCAGAAACCCATGCCCACGATGTGTCCCTTCCCCCAGAGCAACTTCTCCGGGGCTTCCCATGCTCTGAAGGACGAAAGACACCTTTCTTTGGGTAGGGAATCAAAGTCTTGGGGCAGATGACCCCACACCAGTCCCTAGTTTATAATCACAGTCACCAGGCAGGTATTCTAAGTCTCATTATCTACGTCAGCCAGCGAGACAACTTCAGGACCAGGGGAGCAATGCGCTGGAGGCATTGAGCTCACATGTGAGCTGGAGTCGGATTGCACATGGAACAAATGCACAGAAGGTCTGAGGAGGGAGGCAACGGGACACCGCAGGCCAGCACAAACTGGGAGCCGACCCCACAGACATAACCTGACACATCATATATCATCTGCCAAGGCCTTGGTCTATCGATGGGGGCTTGGGTGTTGCTGTGATGCTACACAGGTTTCAATGGAGCTTTCAGACTAAGAAACACCAGGAAGAAAGGCCTGGTGATCTGCTTCTGACAGAATCAGCCAATGATGATGGCCAGGGGGTAGGTGTGTGGGGTGTACCCTTTGGTTATTTGATGACGTATTCAGTGGATTGTAATCATTGCAATGAAATGAAATATGATAGGATGAATGTAAAGATAATGTTTTCCCATGTAAACTATCACATAATTCACAATAAAAACTTAAAAAAAAAAAAAAAAAGATCAGCCAATGAGAACTGTACAGCCTTCTAACAAGTACAGCAGTCCTTTATTAAGCAAATGCCAACAAAAACACACCAACAAAAGAACACTATGGTCCACATCAAGGGAGAAGAGCATGAGTGGAATGTGGGACCCTATCCAGAGAAGCAGC